CAGTTTAGCGCCCTAACTTTACATATGGGTCGTGGGGTGTAGATCGGGGTCATAAAACCGGCTTATACTGTGGGGATGGGGGGACAATTGGTTTGCTTTTGTACTGGGTTTGCGGATCACACTGGGTGTGCACATCGACAGGCTAACTTTAATATTGGTCAGAAAGTAAACGATTTACGTAAGGGTTTTTTTTTGCTGGATCTACCCGTCGATTAGGTCGGTTCGATGTGTTGTTTGGGGTCTTGTTTTACTGTGTATGGGCTCAGGGGGTAGGCGGCCGGCGTGGGCGTTTTTGGCCACTAGGGCATCTGGTATATAATGCACGTGGCACGTGTTAATGTTAGTCTGTGGACTTATGCGGTGCCCTGGTCTAGTGGGGCGTGGGGAGAAAGGTAAGGCCGGGCCTGTGCTGGTCTTCTGGGTGCTTCTACACCCGCCACAATCATCTGGGGCATCTTCGTTTACTGGGTACAGACTGACGGGACCTTCTTACAGGGCAGTTCCACTGCGCGCAATTGCCCGGCTTCAGGTGGATTTCCGGCTACAGGGGGGGTGGGGGTTTTTGAGGCCGGGGTTCTGAGGAGTTGACCCTTTTGTTTAAGCTTGGCGATTCGATAGGCTTTTGTGAACGAATCCTAGTAGTGTTTGTGATTTCGCAAAAGGACTTTATTGAACTTGGTCTTTCTGTTCTGACCGGTCGTGATTGCGTTCATCCGGTGTGTGGCATTGGTTGGATTGTTGTTTGACACACTACGTCACACTGGGGGGAGGGCCCCTTATCTGTTCTTGACATTGTGTTTCTCGGTGGTACTTGTTTGTAACACAGTGCAGTCTTACACAATGCAGTGCATATGACACATCGTACTACTCGTGACCGTTATAGTCACTGTGTTGTTACTTGAGTTGTCATTTTATCTACAGCCGATACGTGTTTGGCTCCAGGTGGACGTGGGCATTCGTTTCTTAGCTGGGAGATGAACTGATTAGCCGATGAACAACGTATTGGCACGATATGACCAACCTATGGGACAGTTCTTCATGCATCGCATATGTAGAGTAGCGCAGTTGTCACCTATGTTCCACGCACACACACATACAGTCGATTCCGGTTAATCGGACCACATCGGGACCAGACCATTTTGGTCCTATTAAGCGGCTGGTCCGATTAACCGAAGTTACCCGATGTAACAAGATGGGACGTGCTATACATAACATAGGAAACTACTGTTATGACCTGTATTGGCGGCATATATTTACAGCAAACACACAAAAAGAACTGCTTTGATAACGAACTTTGTTCAGTGAAAAAGAAATTTACAAACAAATTCTTCGTAACGACCTACAAGATATTCAGCATGCGAAGTACAGTTTTATACAAAGGGATAACAGAATTCCACTTAGCGTTTGAAGACCGTATCCAGTGTGATTTGCCGCATTCTTTTAACAGACTGCATTCGCACAAAGTCACCACAAACATGTAACGCAGTAATAGGACTAACTTCATTTCCTTCCTGCATGAAATAGCGGTGCAATGTTTCAATGCATTTCCTTGCATCCTGTTTTGTGACTGGCATAAACACGTTAGCGTTCTCTTCATCACTTCCATGGTCTTCTGTTGCTGTCGTGTGTTTCGCTGCTATTCCAGAAACAATGGCAGCATCGCATTCTTCATTTCCATCATAGAGTTGAAGTTCGTTGTCGATTGACAAAAATTCTTCGTAATTTTCAGTTTGTTTCGGCTCCACATTCTCGCCGTCATTTTCATTTACAATCACCATATCCACATCCATCTCCGAGACAATATGCTTAAAGCCGCAGTGAGAAAAACAGTTCAGAATTGTCGCACTGCTCATTTTTCGCCAAATTTCGGCCACGAAAGTAAACGTGTTGCATAAGTGGACCTTTGCATGATTTCTCGAAGTCAGAGGATGGGTGGTCTGATAGCCTTGTCCTCTTTTGTTGAAAGGAGGAAGTCTACTTTCTTGATCGTGTTTTTGTCTAGGATTCGGAGGGGTCACGTGGCACACGGTCAAGGGAATGGTGTTTGAGGTGTGGAGTGGGTGGCTGTTTTGCCCGCGGGTGTGGCGGATTTTTGTTTTTGTGTTGGGGTAGGCTACTTTTGGAGTGTTGTTTGTTCATAGGGGCGAGCGGGAGGGGGGGGGGGGTGCGCAGGGGTGCAATTGCCGGAAAAACTGGCAGGTTTGGGGTTGAGAGATGACACTGGATGGGAGGGGATATAGTGTCATAGTTTAGGGGTTTAGGTAACTTTCTGAGGCCCGGTTTGCTGCGGTGTGGAGGGGACTATGGGTAATTGTTATTGCTTCGGAAGCGGGGGCGGGGACGGTCTGGTGGGTGATAGACTAAATTGTAATGTGGTCGAGTGCAATGGGAGGGGGGGGCTGACAATGTGTGATGGTTAATGGGGGGGGTACTGTAGGTGACGTGCAGCAGGACGTGAAAGTGTGGTTTTAAACGGGGCGATATGATGATGGTGTGTGGGATGATGCGGGGTTTTGGGGGATGGCTTGAGAAGTGGTGGGGGGGGGTGGGCTATGGAGGAGGAAGAGCTGGTAGTGGGGGATAGGGAGGGAGATAGTGGGGAGGGGCTGTATGGGGTCATGACTGGGCGGGTGGCATGACGTGATATAACAGCCGTCCAGTAGCTTTTTTACTCTTCGTTGGCCCAGCTATTTTAGCGAGTTCTTCTGCTTTCTACTTTTACTTTGGGACCACTTACGCAACGGCTCGTCCAGTCGCAAGTAAACAAAGGGCAAACCAATCTTTCCCCCCCCCCCCCCCCCCCCCCCCCCCCCCCCCCCCCCCCCCCCCCCCCCCCCCCCCCCCCCCCCCACCCCGCCCGCCCCCCCCCCGCCCACCTCAAGACGTCTGTGAATCCTTGCCTTCACGCTTCCGTTTTTGGGAAGTACCTCGTCGTCCTTCACATTGTGCCCATTCTTCTCGCAGATCTTTCTCTTGTTTTATCGGGCGCGATGTTGTAGATTTTGCCAAGCAGGTAATTTCCACCAATCGACGCTCACTAGTGGTTGGTCCCTGTTCCTTGATCTGATCAGGAAACGAATCTTCTCAGCTAACGTCAAGTCCCGTCGTCGCATTTTCTTAACATGCAACAAGACGCGCACAGTTCACTGAGGTGAACTCGAGTCTTTCTCCCGGGTATTTCTCCGGTTGACCTAGCCACCTGCTGTCCTATGATTTGCCGGACCTGTGTGTCCGCGATCACTTGCCGTGCTCGAGAGTATGCCCGCAATGCGGGCTCAGGGCATTCGGCTCAATGGACGTGCTGTACATCGAGCGGTTAACGACATGAGAACAAGCATGTATGTCTTCGCTCCCCCTACAAGTGTTGGAAACTACAGTCAGTTTCGGGCGGTTCTGAAGCCAATTAGATGTGCCTCAAGGCTGCCACTGTTCAGTTTATCCAAAGGCCAACTCGGATTACCGTAACTGAATGATACGCTTTCTTGCCTGACATATGAACTGTGGGATTACTCCAAACATTCAGGCACAGAACTTGAGTTTAACACCTCTGTTACCTGCCACCTTCTATCGTCTGGTCCGATTAAGCGGAATTCCGGTCCTAATAAGCGGCTAAAATTAGGCTAGCGTAATAGGATTTGTTTCGGTTCTTCAGAATTTGGCCCGAATAAGCGGCTGGTCCTATTAACCGGTGGTCCTATTAACCGGAATCGACTATATATATATATATATATGTATATATATATATATATATATATATATATGTATATACAAACAAGTGCGCGCAGTCCTCTGTGTCGGGATATTCTCATCACTGTTCGCGATACACCATGCGGAAAGCACAGGTCTGGGAAATTCATGCACGCGACTGAATGACACAGGGGAGTGGGTGCGACACGCATGGCGCCCATTAACTTGCATGACGAAAATGATGCACAAAGTGGGACAGCCGGTATGTAGACAACAAGTGTGATGGTGAAGTAGGTCGTCGCGGCCTACTTAAATGTTGTGGGTATGCCCTAACGAAAAGGCTTTTCTGTGGTAAGTGGGATGTGTCAAATTCCCACAGCCAAAGTCGGTGGCATGTCATGTAGTGTAAATTAACCTGCCCAAGTTGAACGAAGATACTTTCCAACATAGCAGGATTGCAATTCGGATACACACACTTCTACGTACTCAGTAGGTCAGCGTAATGAGCAGAGAAACAGACGTAGTGTAACTGCCATCAAAGCGAGGCGCAGCGGCTTATGGGCATACTTGACGACAGCAGCATCGTTCCAGCCTGGCCTATTCTAATAGTTGAGTGACAAGGTAACTGGAAGGATGAAGCACTCAATCCATTAGTTCAAACCACATTTCCACAAATGTTTTGAAACTTAGGCTAATAAAATCGCAGCAACAAACCAACTGTAAAGTTTACAACTACCATGTGTATGTAAGAAATGGATAGACGAAAATACAGCTAACTGTATCCTCTTCATGCGCTACTATTGGTTTAACTTCTAACTTTCATGGCTCGCACCTAACCTGAGAGGGAAAAATATTCATTGGTATTTGGAACAGATCTAATCCGCTTTGTGCCTTTTGTAAAGACTAAACGAAGCCTAGACTAGGTAATCGCACGAGATGGGACAAGGAAACTATAAGCTGGTAAACTTACACTGCTCGCACGGTCTGGGCAGAGAAATTAAACCGTAAATTCCTGTTACCGTGGTTCACTAATTCAAATTAAAGACAGTACTGAACTTACCAATAGGTTTGCAATCGTAATGGGAAACGGTGAAAACTGGAAATCGTGCGGCGGCGTGGAGAAACGGTACAGCGTAACAGTTTGCTACTAGGCAGTCTTTCAATGTTGCAATGTTCAACATTGAGGAGTCGAGGTTATGCCAGTAATACGACGTGAAAACATAAAGTACTTCAGCATATAAGAGTTTGAAGCACAAAGTATTACTTTCTGTAAGGACCAAAGTAAGGGTTTGAGAAAAAGGGACATTATCTCCTCAATAAGTAAACCAGTTTGGCTGAATATTCAAATGTTTCTTTGGACTTTACACTTTCCATAAGCAACATTCAATGGTCGCGTCCAAGCCGGAGTAGTAAAGCTGCAGCTGTACGTAAAAGCTATGGGGAAGGATTATTACTCCAGATAAATAAAATCGATGGTTTTACGGAATCACCGCGGTAGATTCTATGGAGACGTTCCATAGACAAACTGAGACAAAGTTGTTTTACCAATCACGTAACTTAATTGGATGTATCGAAACTTTGCGTTCGAATTTGTTGCGCCTTCCACGAGATTTCAACAATCCCGGCAGCCTCCTTTAATGCGCTGTGTGTTGTACGCGACATGAATGCTAGTGTAGGCTACCATCAGAACCAATGTCATACACGACTGGTTTCCACTGGCTGCTGCTGAACGAAACCGGTCTCATTACCGTCGCAGCTAAGCGTCGCGCTCAACTGTCGCACTTAATGAGGCATACGGTGCAGCATAGTAGCAAATCAGCCGCTATGGTGCACCGGAAGCCCACTTCAAGTCGGCGGGGATAATAGGCTCCGTTGCCGCCCGCCAGATAGAACCAGTCGCACACACTTATAGAGATAAAATGTCTGGAGCAACGGACCAGTCACATTTCAGGAAACTCAGTCGCGTCAATCCACCTTTGTTGATTGTGAGAACATGAAACGGTGAGGGAGTTAAAGGGTTGAAACGAATTTGTCACGGTTAGACTTCGTAAGACACCCGTTGGCACCCGTTGGAAAAGCACGGCCGTTTCGTTCGTTCGAGACTCTTCGGTAGCGTGTGTATTTTCGATCCGGTGCAGGGCTATAAAAATAGCTCAACATTGTATAAGCAGAGAAATTTGCACCTCAGCTAAACTTCCGCAACATCGAACCGGAACGGTTGTTTTCTTCACCTCTCAAGAATCTCAATTCAGCCGCGACATTCACCAACGCCATATAGGGAAGTTTGAAACTGTATAAACAGTTGTTCAGTCTGTCAAATCACTCTCACATAATTTGATGTGCTTACACCCTCTCGATTCGGACAATACAGGGAACGAAATGATGCGAAGGCCACTCATCTTCACCCCACAATGATGGCTCATTGTGGTCTTGCAGTGACAGATAATCTGGGGCCATTGAAAATAAAGCCACCACCAGCTGCATATAACTTCAAGCCACCGCAGCAATCGAAGTTCATGTGCCAGTACAATACTTGAAACGCAGGTCTGAAATGATGTAAGTGGTTCTTCACTGGTTAGTACACATTGCTTTATGAAAACCACCTAGAATATACACGATAACAGAGAGCGTGCGTGATCTATCATTGCTAATGATTTAGAGTTAAATTAGAGAGCACGCTACAGGACGGCGCTAGACATACAATTGTAATCGTGTCCTTTCAGCTATTTATCGGCTTGTTTCTTTTTCGCTTTTGCTTGCAGTGTGGCGACATTCTTCGAAGAGACAAGAGCCAACGGAACATCCAGAACTAACAACCAACGAAAGTGGATCATTGAAATCCTTTACATAAATATGAGGGAGCCCTTGACCCCAAAATTCTTCTAAGAATGCTTCAAATCTTCCAACTCTTAATACAATGAATGTGTGTTACTGACATGAACTGACTGGCCGAACAACCTCCGCATGGTGACAGCTGGGTGGCGCGGGTTGATCTCTATCCAACGGATGGTTCGTCGGCAGTGTTTCAGGACATGGTGGGTTTCCGCCAGGCAAGCGTTCTCCCTGTAGGAAAATCCCAAATGTCTGTTTAACAACACTGTGACATGGCGGATGTGGGTCGCCGCTACCACTTGCCCATTTTACGGAAGTCAGTCACCAACTTCAAAGAGTTCCTAGGATCCCTTCTTGCACTGGCTACCCGACCAAACACAATCACAAATACAGTCACACAAACAAAATCAATCAACTTGGAGATATAAACGACCACTCACAGATATATATACTCATATAGATCCAATTTGTAGCTCGTTAAGTTGTAATATTTTGCACACTTGCCGATCCTTCGCGTTTGTATTACTATGATCATGCTTATGCAGGCATGCCTCACAAGGTCGAGATATAAAAAAATTATTTATGCAGTTCAGTTTACATACATTCCAACTGCGCGTGTTGTAGTGACCTCTCTCCATTTCCATCTTGGATAGCTCCACCTTTGCAGCACAAATGTGAACCTACTGATCTGTCCCTATGTGCAGACAGTCTGTTGCGCGGTTGAGAAATAATTAGTTTCTCTGTACCACGAGACACTTACATTATTACTATTATTATCATCATTAGTATTAGTGATATTAGTATTAGTATTATTAATATGTGAATGTGAGTGTTGACATCCTTAGCTTTTCTACTAACTTGTCGTTAACCTTGCTACGTAGGAAAGGAGAAAGGCATTCCATTATCTTGTTCTTGTCATGTAGGTCCCACAATACATTCCCACTGGTATTGATTTTCCTCCGGGGATTCCACTAGGTTTCTTCTAAACATGCAGATACACGTTCCGGATAAAATGTCCTCAAACCTGAACTCACCCATTTGAAGACTATATGATGAGATCAGTGCCATTGGATCGTTACTCAGCATGCATGCACGAGTAATGTGGCTACTCGATTTCGCTGTTTGCTTACTTTCATGGCACAACAAATCGATGAAGGTTCACCCCGTCACTCAGACAACGGTACCAGGTGTCAAATCGTGGTAACCAAGCCAGTCTCTGGCGATTCATCGGTTCGCTCAAAACCGACCTTCCGTAGGGTTTACTTGATATTCCTACATTTCGTATGTACATGCAATTTAATGCCTAAACAATCATCAGACTTTTCTAGATTGAACAAACTTGTCACCGTTTACTGCTATTAGGAAGAAACCCTGAGTTATCCTAGTGCAGTTTTCGTTGATTAAATCAGGCACATTGCTCCGGTTTTTAAGTACTGCTGACAAATTCACTTCTAACAAGCAGGGGATTTGGATGTGCGCGCATTGTTCAGTTAGCTCGGTAATCATGACTGTTTTTCACCGTCACCCTTGACCTATGCTGCTGGCACGCTGGTGACGCAGGCTGCTGGTGTCCAGTGCGCCATGGGTTCGGTTTCTGATGGCGTCGGGAGACATATACCACTGAGCAGTCCCAGTAGGCCGTTTGGTATTGATCCGGACACGTAACATGGCGTCTGGCATACAAGTGACTACCATGCACTCTCGACACATGTTCTTCTCTTAGAAGGATGGCTAACCATTCAACCAAAGCGTACTTATGGCTCCGGTTATCGGCGGTGTGCAGGGTGAGTACCATGTTCTCATTGGGTCCAATTACATTTGCGGTCAATGGAAGTAGGTTGCACATTCGGGAACAGAAGCTGTACATTTGCTTCCAAGAACAAGTTCCACAAGTCACTGCTACGTTACGGTACAAGAGAAGACCACCTTTGATTAACGAACCTCCGTATGCCTTATGCAGTCGAGAAGTTCATGCGTAGTCTACACGGGTCGTCTGTGCATCTATACAATTCATCCCTCACACAACTATGTGCGTGTACACACACACCGGTGACAAGCAATTAATCATGACACACACGCGCACAGGTCAAGTGTGCACAGAACGCGTCCACAGTATGCTATTTTGCTACACCTCAAGCAATCATAAATATGTTTGTACCTACAGCGCCTATGCATAGAACTCCGATATTGTACCACTGTGGCCGTTCATCTCTGCACATGTTTCAGTTGACAAGTTAGCAGGTAACTAGTAGCCATCTAGTTGAAGCCTGTCTCCGTGGGTGGCATAAGGTTCTTGTATCTGAACTTTTTCTATCAAGTTTGTTGTGCACTGTCGCTTCTAGCTACGAACACCAAAGATTTGTCAGTCGAACAAAATGCTCCATGCTCAGTTTGTTCAGAGATATTTCTAAACAAGTTGAATATCGCGGTGTCTCAAATGTTCCACAAGCATTGGCGGCATTTCGAGTGAACAATGGCAACTTAAATGTCACCAACTGTTTCATTCGCTAAAGGTAGAAAAATGATAAAAGTGCTTGGGTCTTGACGCATGTCGTTACTGTGCCACCTCCCTGCGTCTGCATTAGTCACTTGAAAATAGGTGAAGTGAGGTACGAGGAAGTCGGAATACCTCAGCACATTAACACGCAGCCCCGTTGATGGGCAGGCAAGCCACTGTTAACCGCACATTCAGTTGTACTCATTGCTACATGTATTTGTAAGTGTACCAACTACCTTTCTCACGGTTGGTCCATAAATGGTGCACAACTGGGATTGGACGGGGAACCGCATCCAAGGGTTCAGACCACTGGATAGAATCATGTGACAAATCTTGATACCACCGACGTTGCGGTGAGCATGAGACGGGTGGGGTTGAAACTCACTTATCTTGCACACCATACAGACGTTAGCTGAGAATCTGTACGCACGCAACGGTTTACTGCTAAAGTGCCATGGAAGCAATGTACTTGCTAAGACGGGGTGTGCATACGTCAGTAAACCGTTTACACATCAGATCCGCACGGTGCATAATTGTATCGCAGGTGAGAGAAATGCTCCGTAGGTAGACGGGGTTGATTCGTTCCACCTTACTGCCATTCAGATACGGCCCACGGCTATGTCTAAGTGACTGATGCTGGAAGTGCAGTTGAGGAGATTGGCTTCGAAAGCCGGAAAACTAACCTATTGCTATAAGGAATGGATCATCCGGAAACATGAAACGGCTTTTCAATCAAGATGTTTTGTTGTGCGAACAGTTATCGTGGGAGAAGGAAAATAGTTATTCACAAAACCAACTACAGTTACTATGGTATCACTATGTTGAAAAATGTGCGGTGTTTGTGAAGAATTTCCAAAAGCACCGAGTTCACTCAAGGCGAACTCAGTCACCTAAGTGCTACTGTGCTCATATCCATAAATTTTGTTCTTACTCGCAGCAACTTGACATGTCAAGTTGAATTCATTCAGTTGAAGAGCTCTCTGGCGTCACATGCTATTGTCAGTACCCCTGTGACTACAATTCTCAGTCCACTCAATGAGAAATAATAATTACTGCCTAACGCTGCAGTAAGTTAGAACAAAGCCAGTTAAATGATGCGGTAGTAAATGCACAAAAGTCAAGTTGGTTCGGTCACACATGCACAATCATGGGACATTGTTCATCGCAACTATAAGTTGCGACGGTGTGGATCGACCAGCATGCGCCGACCGATGGTGGATAGACACAGAGCGGCAGTCACCATAACCTCGACGAGACAGTCCCGTTATAAGCCTATCCGGAATCTAGTGTTTTCCGTTGGAATAAGTTGGTTGCAGAGTTTGGTGGATAACCATTAGTTTGGTTTTGAGAACGACACCGCCGGTTTACCATAGATGACCATCTCTTCCGCATAGAATTCTAAAGGTTGTTTACTGGTAGTATGTAGATGCTGTTTGCCTTGCGTTCTTGTGGTCACCAACAACGGCATTTGCCACACCCTTGGAATTTAGGTGGCCAGACGTCTGTGTGTGTGAGAGAGAGAATTTGTTGAGAGCCACATGGCAGAGGGAGATAATTGCTATGTGTTTCCAGTTAGCAGCACTGCAATCCATGGTCGGTTTCGTAATCGTTTACACTCATCAATTGAGATAGCGGAACTTCGATTAGGAGCCGGGATATCTAGGATGTCAGTCGAAGCATCTACTCCTAAAGCAACCGGTCTTGGCGAATGATATTTGTCACAAAGGTTAATATCTGCTTGGAGGGGTGAAACTGGAGAATTGGTTGTGTGTGGGATTGGATTGCGACATGCAATCTCAAACAAAACTGTGATTGGGGTTGAAATGTATTGCAGTCGATTCTATCACTAGGGCAGCATATAAAGCAGATGAATTTTAGGCGTTACGCGCTGCAAAATATATAAATGATTTGGTACATAATACCACAGCAATTAAATGTATATACTACTCAATGTTTCGATGTGACATACCTTCGACTACGCCAGGTTGGCTGGCGATGAAAAATTATGAAGTTTGCCTGTGAGGAAGACAGCACCAATGTAGTCTACCGCATCGGCTATGAACCATTCCAAACGAACCTGAACCTCGTTCACCTTACATCGTGTCGGGCCCCAATTTCGTTCACCTAGTCCAACCTTCCCTTGAAAATCTCTCTAACCAGCCTTGGTCGTCGCGATTCCCATGAATGCACTTGTCAACGGAAAGGGTTGAGGGACATACATGGGCGTCGCACACAGAAGGTAACACATATTACAAACCGGAATGTCCTAGAGGCCAACGGTATGTGAGCGATGTGACTGGCCGGGCTAAGCTGAGTTCAAATGTTGCAACTGCAGTAATGGTGTTGATCGAAGTAACGTTCCAGGTTGGAGTTTTGTAGTTTAATCCCCCCACGTTGAGCCAGTCCAGAGTAACACTCAGTCAACTTGTCCACCGCTGGCCGGGCTAAACTACGGTCAAATGTTGCAACCGAAATAATGACAAAACTGCACACGTCGCTAATGGAGACACTGTGTCCTGTGTGCGGTGTAGACAATTGTCAGTACTCGTGTAAATGCAACAACATATTCACAGTGAACCCAAGGATCAAGGGTGCGAGCTAGGGAATGCACCACATAGTGAATGTGAACGGCAGTATTATTATTTACGTATCCTTGTGCGTCGAAGATATCTTCAGAGTGGGTAGTTTATAGCGTTCCGATGTTCGCACGGCTGTAGTTTGAAAACCCTAGTTGTGAGAAATTTGCGGTTTCGCAAGCTACATTTCCTGAGCTCAGATAGATGGTAGTAATGACTTTAACATTTCGCTTGTCTGTATCTGATGTTCTGTCAGTACCACATTTAACAACGTAGAATCATTTACATAAGCGGTATAAAAGTTGAAGTAACGGATTCTTGCGCATCCAAGTCCTGTTGAGAGATATATGTGCCATACATAATCCGGCTACTTGGCAATATTTCGCACTCGCACGACAGCCAATGACATTTGTCACAAATGGCACCAGGATTCAAGCGATGATCAGTTATCGTGACACTTGATCATCCTGTCCACTGTATCGGCTCAGTATAACACTTAGTCAACGGGATAGTTTTCTTCGACAGGGGTTTCAGACACTGCGTGAGCACCGAGAAGACAAGCAGGATGACAAAGCAGGCCAGGAAAATAGATTCGAACCAGTGGCCTTATGATTGCAAGCCAGGCGTGCAGACCACTCGGCCACCAGGCTTCCCCGTCTCTTTTCAGGTTAGCAAGCAGTTTCGCCCTGAAATCTTTGCGAGTCTCCTTGTGTTCGCTATCAGCCGGAACACGTTGGCAAGCATCTATAAGTTCCTGAGACTGCGTAGTGACCCAATGTCCAGGTTGGCGATTTGATTTGCCACATTAAGACATACCCGCTGCTAACAAAGTCTGCCGGATTTTCGACCAGTGATGTTCAATTGCGTTCGATGAGCGCTTATTCAGCTCGGATGCCAGCGTCTTCAAGTAGTGCACGAAAAGTGTGCCTGTAAATTTTGAACACGAGTATTTTAACAATTCAAATAGCTGCATTCACGACAGCACTCTAAAATTAAATCTGTGATTGTTGTTATGTGAAACGAAATATTGAATGGCAATTTCAATTGTGAGCTTTACAACTGCGAGAGCGGCAGCAATTGTACGTCCGCCACGGACAGCAAAAGTAGTTGCTACGCCACTGTATCCACGCCAACTACACCCACATTCGTTTACGCACGCTATTGGGTCAAACGAGGGATCATCCCAAACGATCAAGACGGTATCCAAGTCGTACTGGATAGCTATTCTTGCTTTTTGGCACGCCAATCAAATTGGGCTTACTGTAGGAATGGTTGCTTTTAAATCTAAAGTATGGCATCCGAACCGGCTGATGTGAGTTCCGAACTTGACAGACCAACTTCCAATCGGGTAACGAATTAACGCGCCAATGCACTGAAATACAGCAGACAAACATGGCACAGAGACGGTTTCCATTGGACACGCAATTCATTCGTTCAGCTTTAATGACGACGTCTTGTCTAGCAATGGACCTGTTTGCGAACTCACATCTATCAGTTCCTCTCACTCTTGAAAAGACCGAACGTGACGTGCGCAGTAATTTCTTATTCACTACTACTCAACTATCCACGCTGATATCCCATACTGTAATACATCTGAAGGTTGCTTCACCTGGCAAGCTCACTTGGTCCTACAAAGCACTTTCCAAACATCCAAGTTTTTCGAACAAAGAAACTGTATATACATTAGGCTTATCATGAAACAGTACGGCGCAGCGAATACCAGCACGACAAGGACCATAAGTTGAACATATCACTCGGGCATGGCTAACTGGAAGCCAGTCCCGTGTCACTCTCTTGTGCTAGACATCAGATATCGCTTCAACCTCCGTACGAACACACAAACTTAGGTATGTGCAAACCTATTTTGAAGACACTGTGAATACTCACACGTCTCTACGCGCTGCCAGTGACATGCTATACTACCAGATGCGTAAAATATAGGACAGCAACATGATCAAAATACGTTATCTTTTCTAGGCAATTAGGAAAATGTACACGCAAATGTCGAATAGCATTCCCATATCCCACAACGCTGATATCCTTGGTGGCTGCTCTGACAATGCCTGCAAGAAACTGCCGCCTCCATTCCATAATCTTCATGAGTTTTTTGGGATCCACGGGCAGAAGTTCTTCGTAGTGCACTCTCATGTCATTCTTCACCCTGGCCTTCACCACCAGCTAACATCCTCGATCGGATTGAGGAACGGAGAGTATGGGCTCAATCTCAGTATGGTTACTGCATCGTATCCATCTACTAAAAACAGTTCTTCCAGTAGCGTGTGACATGGTGCATTATCACATACCACGAAAACCTGCCGGAGCTCCATCTCCCGTTTCAGGTTGTCTAAATATATATATATATATATATATATATATATATATATATTTGCAAATGTCTGCTAACAGACATAATGCCATCAGAAACCATGGGCTTCAAACGAAGGTACAGAAACAGTAAAATAAAACACAACACAACAATGTCCATGGTTTCCTCAGAGGGCGAGATACTACCCGGTTGCCCAAGCCGAAGTAGGGTGTTGACTTAGGGGACACCACCCGAGCCTTTGGCTGAATAGCCTGCCCGCAAGGCAGCGGAGTGAATTCAGGGAATCGCGCCCATTGGGAGCCGGTGACTGATTTCTCAGTTCATACGCCTTTCGTTTGTTCCTTTGTCAAACAGGGGCCCAATGCTCCCCAGAAGTACAGCATAAGGTTGCTGGAATACAATGCTTCGCCAGAATGAAGCA